ACAAGTGGGCAGGATGACGGCAAATTGTTTAATTACAACTGTAAACTTTAATTACAACTTTACGGATTTTCCCTAAGTTCCAGAGGGAAGGCTCCGGTGTCCTTTCCCCTCCGACATATATGTGTCGGAGAGGGAAAGACAGCGGGATTTCCCGTCCGGAATGTTGGGAAAATCCCCAATACAATAGTCCAGACTTTTACTATAGCCGCCCTTAAGTAATAAAAATAAGAAATAGTCTTAATGTTCCAATCTGACTTTATGACGAAGTGACATGGCAGGTCACCGGACGTAGCCACGGTAACGGGAGGGACATGTACCTGACAGAGGTATGAAATGATTATATGGCTCTCCTTAGAACAAAGATTAACCCGAGAAGCGGGGACAGAAGTGTACAAGGGCAGCCTCTTTTGGATTAGGAAGGTTAGAGTTAGAGTTAGTTAGTTGGTTAGTGAGTTCTTTCTGAAACTGCTAAACCTCTGTTTTTTCAGAATTTTTACATCGATGTAGATCGATAAGCGGTTCCAATACACCATTATAGTGGATCTTCTGCTATCAAAAGGTTTGCTTCATAAATTTATTTCCATTAGGTTGTCCCAAATGTTTCTTTCGTTTCATAAGTGAAATAACAGATGCACAACATTTTTTATTTTATATTATTTTATGGATTCATGTATGATCCATTTTGTAGTAATAGAATAAAATGGATCAAACATAATTCAATAAACGGTTATAACACTGCAAGAGCTTACGACCGATTCCGCTGCATGATGCGCAGCTGTCAATTTGATTATGGAGAAAAATCCTCAGAAAGCAGTGCCCTGAATATAATTTCAATAACGAGCGTCGAATAGTTTCCATTTTACCCCGATTTTTGGGAGCCGAGTGTTCACTGATTAAAGAATCCGTGGTCTTGAGATTTTCTGGCAAAAGAACGATTGATATAGTAGTAATGCGAGGAATGAGAAATATTGGTACATCTCAACTCTTGTCCGTTGCGGGTGTTAGTGGTTTTACATTAGAGATAAATTCGTCGTGCCCTCGCTGACGGTTATTTTAAAATATGATATCGCGATTGATCGTGAAATTTTAAGTCAAGGTTTCGACGTAATATTACACAAAATAGCCCCGCTATGTATAAGACAAATAATTAATGCCTGTAATAAAACCGCCGAAGACGAGATCGATGTTAATGAAGTTGACAATGGCGTGCGTGGTAGAGATAAAAGTCTGGACTAGTGTATTGGGGTTTTTCCCAACATTCCGGACGGGAAATCCCGCTGTCTTTCCCTCTCCGACATATGTATATATGTATACCATTATAAGGATAATACGGATCTCTCGATCGCATGTAGTACTCTCGATCTCTATCATTATAGGAGGATCTACTGGACGGTCTCGATCTAAAATCCGAAAAAAATGATAGTATATATGTACAAAATATCATGTTAAAATATCAATTGCGTGCTAAAAAGATATATACCCTCTACTATAAGGATCGTCGTAATATTCTCTCCTATATGGATCTCTTATGTCGTAATCATCGTATCGTCTTGGTCGTCTATCGTCCCTTCTTCTGTCACGGTCAAGATAATCGCGATCTCTAGAATATCGTAAATCATAGTCTCTAATATCTCTTTCCCTGCGTCGTATTCCATCATCAACCCTATCTTTTCTGCGATCGTCAGGTCTTCTTCTAATGTCTCTATCATCTAGATCTTCTTTAGTTCTGCCTCTTCTATCGACCTCTTCTCTTGAATGCCTATCTAGATCGTCTCGACTATGGTGCTTGCGATCATCTTCTCGGTAAGGAATTTCTCGACGATCGAATTCATCGCGAGTATTATATGTCCGATCGTTTTCTCCTCCACGACGGCGATCGTAATAATAATCATCATCATATTCCCGTTCACGATCGTAACTGCAAGTTAAGGTTTAAAATCTTAAGCTTTAAATAACTTATGAATTTCTCCAAAGTTCAGTTATTATATATCTACTAACTACGCGCTTTTTCGTTCGTATTCGTATCTTCGGCGTTCCGAGCTACTGTCACGTCGTCTTTCTCTGCTATCATCTCTACTATTTCCGGATCCTCCTTCATCATCCTCATCTTCATACGAATCTCTACGATTCGATGCACTAGGAATTCCTTGACTCTCGCGTATTGATGCGCCAACAGCTTCCTCGCGTTTGTTTCTCGAGTCACCGGTCTGATCCTGTATTGCAGCTGAAATGAGATACAAAAATTTAATAATAAGTACATACAAAAATATTGAATTTACGTAGATATAAAGCCTTCTCTCACAGCCTATAGAAGGAACTTCTTGAGAGCCTGTAACTACTCTTCCATTAGATCTGTCATCTGGTGACTGAGTAACTTCGTTGGAAGATGCACCGCCCGGTATTTGTCTAAGGTTTTCTTCAGTCTGCTGAACAGGATCTTCAGATTCATTACCTCTTCCAGGTATTTCCCGTGTCTCACTTGGTTCTAACATAATTTGGGATTGCGACTGATATCTTTCTTCTCCAGATGGATCATTTCGTGATTGTTGCGGAGGCAGAGACCGTTCTCTGCCAGATGGATCGTTTCGGCGTTCCATCGTGTCGGAATCTGATCGTGAAAGTAAAGGAACATTTCTTTCTTGTCCAGGTGGAACATCGCGCCGTTCTGATCTTTCAGACATATTCCTTAATTGAAGACCTTGCTCTTGACCAGACGGATCATTTCTTCTTGGATCAGACAATCTTTGACCAGTCTGAACATATTGTTCTTGCCCGGTTGGATCATTCCTACGTGGATCTATGGAACTTGATTGTCCCGGTACTTCGCGTAAAAAGGGAATGTCATTAGGCACTTCGTCATTTTCATCATCTTGACTTGGCGGACTCGGTTCATGTTCTTGATGAGAATCGGTTAATTCTCCGGTTTCCAGAAAAGTATTTCTATCGTTTGATGCGAACTCGTAATTATCTGGCACCTGTAAAATAATTTTACTTATTTTAACTGCACAAAAAATGTTGACTCATTTCTTTTACCTGTTCTGCCTGAAGAAGGGAATGAGATCGTGTGGACTGCTGCACAGAGGGTACTTCGATATTACTTATTTCCTGTCTAAAATCACGTGTACTGGCCACCTCCTTGGCAGAATTTGGAACTGGTTTAGGATCATTATCTAAAGTTTCCTTATTTATAGAATCTCTTGAGCCATATATATCTCGTTCCTGTAATGATGGCGTGACTACTTCTAAATTTATAAATTCTGAAGGCTGTTGGATATTTTCATAGTTCTCTACGTTTTGTTCTATACTCCATTCTTTTGGTGGACGAACATTATCTTTCGAATACAATGTATTTTCTGAGGAAAGTGGCAATGCATCCTGGCTGTACCATTGATCATATCCACTTTGTGCTATATTGTCTGAAGACTTAATGTTTGTCATTTGATATGGATTAAGCGCCGTATGATCTTGACTAACAAGATTTTGATTATCATTGGAATGAGCATTTTCTGTACCGAGTACAGCACATTCTAAAGGTAATCCAGATATATTATCAGGTGTAACACCATTATTGGAAAGTGTATTTTGATTCCACCCATCTTCAGGATTAACAGATTGTGATTCTTTCAATTCATTTTGACTTTCAACATTTTTATTTACTTTAGTACCAAGATTTAACTGTTCTAATTTTATAGGCAACTCTTCAGTTGAATTACTTTCTGTCGCATCATTTGCTAAATTAAAATCATTGCTCTCTTGCACAGAAATATTTTCAGAACTTGCAACAGTTGATATAGTTTCAGGAGTAGCAGACATATTAAGCCGGGAGTCAGATGGATATGATTTAGCAATATTTGTTTTTATCTGTGTATTAGGATCTTTAGAGCTGACAGAATTTGAAATTAACGAAGGAGCAGACCGTTTTCTTTCTTCATGTTCTATATTTGGATCTACAGCTGGAATAATATTAGGATGAATAAGATGAGATGGTATTGTACGATTTTGCTGCCAGTCATTTGTAGCAACTGCGCCAGTGACTTCTTGTTTAACACTTTCTTCTATTAAATTATTATTTTCCTGCTGTTCATGTAACCACTGAGTTGCATTATTGTCATTGGTCTTTTTCCAAGATTGTGAGACTTCAGTATTTGCTTGAGGCCAAGAATTAAATTCATCATTAGCTTGTGTTACTTGCTGACTTTGATTAGGTATTGCAGATTCGCGGTTCTGAGCATTCCATTGAGAAGACATATGAACTTGACTGGACCAATTATTTGCGTCATTCGTATCATTTATAGAATATTCTTTATTTTCAGTAGAAGGTAGAAGGTGTTGGCTTGATCTAGTTTGTTGTACTGGTGGTGTATATTGATTACCTAGATCATCAAAATTTTGTGCCTCCTTGTCCATTTTTGGATCCTGCCAATGTCCCGATACAGCAGCTGGTTTTTGCCAATTTTGTGGAGTCATTACATTTGTTTGATTAGACTTCATCCAATTATAATTGCTACCAACTAAAGTAGGACGTGATGCTTGCTCTTTTTGATTTTGTACACCTGACTTTTGTAAATATGAAACATTTTGAGATTGTTGATCACCTGCCCATTGTGGTTGATCGAAATTCATAGATCCAGATTTAATAGAATTTGTTCGAGGTGGCGGTGGTGGATATTGCTGATATTGATTATAATTTGAATAAGATGTAAAAGAATCTGTATGATTAGGAATTGGTGGCCTATTAGCAACTGTCCCTGGTATATTTCTGTCTGATGTCAAATTCTGATTGAGCAGATCATTTTTATTACCGTTAACGCTTTGATAATAATGATCTTGAATGGAATTAGGTATCAACTGTCCTTGATTGGCATAAGAAGGTACATAATGCTGTTGCTGCTGTTCTGACTGTAGCGGTTGCTGTTGCTGATTATCTGCCTGTTTGTCAAAATCCCAATTCCATGAATTATTCCAAGGATCGTTTGACTGTTTTGGCTGATTCAGAAGTGGTGGTTGATGTTGAACGGGATCATTTGACGATACTTCAGGCGGTACTCTAGACATTGGATTCCATATATTTTGATTATGAGTTCCATAGCCTAAGCTGTGATCTATTCTAGACCTAGTTGGTCTGGCTCTATAAGGATTCTACAAATGTGTTTTAGATATTAATATACAAGTGAAATTTTTTTACATTTCGTACAATATTTTTAAACATGCTACTCACACTCATACTGCCTCCAAGACAGTAACACTTGTTTCTTATTTATATAAAACCTACAAGACAAAAAATAATTTACATATTGCATTATGAATAAGAATTTTATTGTTATCCTACAAATTTACGTATATAACCATTTAGGAATATAAACGTATATAAACGTATATAAACATTTAGGAATACCTGACATTTTTTAACAAACATTCAAAATATAACTTTAAAAATTATTAATACGCCAACAGAATACACTTTCACATACCATAAAAAACATATATAGGTCATTAGAAATCTATTTTTCAAATCTTTAATGATTCTTTCTGTTTACAAAGTAATATTTCGTAAAATAAAAATAAATTGAGATCAAAATTTACACTGGGATAGAAAATCCGTTAACACTCTTTCTGACGATAGCCTATCCTAGCTAGAAAATTTCTTGAAATTTTCCCACCACAAAACTCAAAATTACTATAATTATGTAACAAAAATCATGAGAGAGCAGTTTTTGTGCGTAAATAACACGATTGGCAGATAGGAGAAAGTTAAAAGGCAAGGAATTGAGAACGTCGTGCCGAAAGTTGAGATACCAGCTGTGATATTCAACGTTAGCGTTCAGGGACCTCTCGTACGTTCACTCACCTAGCTATCGTGTCTGGCACTGGTGTCCATACGCGAGTATAAGCATTATTTTCTCCCACAAAACATTCGAATCGTTACGTTTAGCAAATTCGATCGTTTATCGAAGCAAATGAAATTTTTACGAGATTAGAAGGAAAAGTCACAAAAAGGCGGACATTTTACGAATATTATGAGGAAGATGTGGGTTAAGCACGTCACGAATTTTTCTCGTTGTCTTTCCACGCGAGCAGAACCATAGACGCGTACAGCGCGAAAGCGTTGTTCTCAAACGTCAAAAAGATCTCCAATGAAATCTCGTTAGATGGCATTGTAATGTGATTTAAATTTTTTTCAAAAACAGGAAAATACTGAAACTGGACAGATTTTTACATAATAATTTGACAATAAAACCTCAAAATAATAACTCTTATAGATTTATAACAAGGTTTCAAAATATGATGTGCGCGATGAGATATTCTCATCTAAATCTAAACTAGATATTTCACAAGTAGATATGTCTATTTGTGTCTATTTTATTTACTGTATTATAACATTTTATTTTTAATATATAAAATTCTAGCATTTCAAGTTTGGTAATTATATTAGTCGTGGAATGTGAAAGCGATTAATAAAGAGGGAAACCACAGTTGCAATGTGTTCAATGGAAGCCTCGGAGTGTTCCACAGTGACTGCTGACGTGACGTGGTATGCCAGGAGTGGACATTTGATGAATCGGTCACACCGTGGCCAGTTTTGCGTAAATGGATCGCAGGTGGTGAAGAGACGATTATTTTGCAAAGATTTCATTATTTTTTTCTATATTTTCGGTAACAAGAGTAATTGATTTTTATCAAAATGGTGTTATTAACAATGATTGCGAGGATAGCAGATGGTTTGCCACTAGCAGCCACGATGCAAGAAGATGAACAGGTTAGAAAGCTGTTACGATGAAACGTCAATTTATGATTGAATTTTGAAAATTATTATTATATGAGCTCTATCTTTTTACATGACTTTTTTCTATATAACTATATGACTTTTAATTAATTCATACATAATTATTTACAATAATATGTAAAAATATATTAATTTTACTTATTAAAATGTAAGATTTTTGTTTATTGATTAAAATAATTAATAATTAATTAATGGTTTGTAGAGCGAGAGAAGAATTTTAGAATATCAGAACCAGGCAAAAATGTTATTTAGAAGATTAGAACCACAGTCTCCAGCTAGATGTACCATAGAAACAGGTCCATATTTATTCCAGTAAGTTTTTTCATGTTGTAATTGATAAATTATGTAATGATAAATTATCAGTTATTTCCATTTGCAGTTATTTAATTGAAAATGAAGTATGTTATTTGGTATTGTGTGAAAAAAACTACAGTAAACGGGCCGTATATAATTATCTTGAAGATATAGCGCAAGAATTTCATTCGTCATATGGTAAACATGTCAATACAGTTACTAGGCCCTACAGTTTTATTGAATTCAGTATGTATTTTTCCTTTTCTTTTCTTTTGCGTAATCTAATTTGTGTAGTACTTTCATACAATGTTTGTTTTCAATACAATGTTTAATTTCTTAGATACATACATCCAAAAAGCAAAGAAAGTTTTTTTGGATGGTAGATCAAGAAGAAATATGAATGCACTCAATAGCCAACTACAGGATGTGCAAAGAATCATGGTTCAAAATATAGATGATGTCTTGCAAAGGGGTACAGTTCTTTCAGGTAACAGTATAATAATAAATATTTAAACAAAATTTCTTATTTGAATACTTTTTACTCAATTATCATTTATTTTGCAGAGTTAGACACTAAAACACAAAATTTGACTATGTTGTCACAAAAATATAAAAAGGATGCAACTCATTTAAATAGCAAGTCCATGTATGTGAAAGCTGTGGCTGGACTTGTTGCGTTTTTGGTCTTCCTGCTATACTTTTTTATTCTTTAGTTTCTCAATCTATTTGAAAAGTTGGTTACAATTATGTAAAGACAATTAATGTTTCTCATCATATTGCTTTTCCAAAATTAGCAAGTATTTTTTTTTGTGAACTTACTTTTTCACATAATGTATCTAAATTTTAAATTCACCTGAAATTGGAAACAATGTACATATGTTGTATTCAGGCAAAAGCTAGTCGCACGGAATATAATGATACCCATACTATTCAAGACATTGTTCCATATATTGTCATACAGTAAATATAATGATTTTCTACATAATTAAGACAATGTATGACCATCTTTACTTCGGCTTAGTAAAAGATATCCTCTAACAAGTAAGACAATATGTATAGTCATGACTATTGTTATATTAAAAATTATTTTATTCTTATTACTTTACTTATAAGGCAAGGAAATTAATATTACATTCATATTTAAAGCTGTATTTTATTATTTAGACATATTATTTTACATAATTTACAGTAAAAACAAATTAGTTTTATTTATTCTTGTGATTGTATTATTCTCTGGAACATAAATGTTTATGTATTTACTTCTCTGGACGGGGAATCAATGAAGGTGTAACAATAGAATTTTTAACTTTCATTAATATTGTTCTATTTATATGTGATTCAGTTGAATCAGTCTATTGCAATATCGTACTTACAATAAAAGAAATTGAATTTGTATATCCACCTAAATTCACGCGAGGAAAATCACCGTAACTTACTTGAAAAATTTTTTACATGTACAAAATATCTTGTGTTCTATTATTGTTACATTCTAATTAATTCATCATAATCGGGTATATTGGAATTTGATAAACACTTGCTTCCTCGATCATCATTTGATCTTTCCTCATCAGATCCTGAGAATTCAGAATTAAAAAAATAATTTACAGTCGAATTTGTTTTTTCCTTCATATTTGTCTGATTGTATGCTCTTTTCCTCTTCCTTGATGCATTGTGATTATTAGCTTTATATTTTGAAGTATTTGCATCTTCGTCATCTGAAATATTATTTAATATATCCTGAAATTGATTGTAAGCTTAAAAACAATAAGAATTATGCATAAAATACATACCAGTATCTATAATTTCATACATATATGAATGATCATTTAGAATTATATATATTGTTGGAAATTCAATTATGGTTTTATTTTCTAAATTTTCCTTTAAAGAAAGCCTAACATCCAATTCATAAAACCTAGATATTTTGTAGTAATAAAACACAACTTAGTTACTTACATTTTACTTGAATTTTAGGATACAGAATTAAGTGTACTTACTTTAAGTCTGATTTCACAACTTTTTCTGCCTTTAAAAGAACTTTTATTCCAGATAAACCTGCAGCCTGATAAAATTGTAGTCTCTCATTTAAACGTATTCTTAAATTTAATTCCTCTATATCATTTTTATTTTCTACAGATTTAGTGGGATCTAAGATCTCTTCTATAAGCAGCGATAATCTTGTGGATTCTAGAGCCCTATAATTATTACGATGCTATTATTATCAGTGAAATTAACTATAATATACATATTGTATCAATGTAAAAAGAGGAGTTCTACCTTTCTGTGACCCATTTTGTGCAGTCTGCTTGAGGAAAAATCCATTCTATTCTCCAATATAATTCACTAGTTTTCCAATTTAAATATGTCGTATTATTTTTGTGTCTACTAAAATGTTGTGGCATGAATTGCAAATTAACATTCCTCTTAAATGTAGCTCTTTTTAGTTTATTCAGATGCTATAAAGATAATAGTTATAATATAAGCATCGTATGTCATGTCGTGGAAGAAATAAGATAAATAATTTAACAAACCATTGGTAGATTAAGTTGTCGTGTACATTTTTTTAATGGATCTCTTTTCAATTGTTCAACTGTTCTACCAACTTCTTCGAGAAGCCTATAATCTGTAAAATAATTATTTTCAAAGAACTACGATGAATATGCGATTCACGGAGCTTACCACTTAAAACATCCAAATCTGTGAATGATCTTAACGGTATAAATTTTGTTTTGTCTCGAATACCGTCACATTCCAGTTCTTTTTTATGGATATTTACACACTGAAGACAACAAGTTCTAACCTCACATTTTGGACACGTGTATTTTGCTTTATTTCCCCCACATACCTCACAATTTTCGAGCCTGTGAATAATATCAATTTTAGTGCATATTTATAAAAACTGAAAATTTTTAATCAACACGAGTATTATTAGAACACGGTAACTATCTTAATAATTAAAAAATGTCGTACTTGTCACTGAATGTGGCCATGTTGGAGTTCCCGCGTCAATAAACAAGGCAATCTATTGACAGACAAGCAAAGTAAAGTACAAACTGTTGTACTAAACTTATATAGAAACTTATATAGAAATTAAATGAATCATATAGCTATTACTACAGAGATATAAAATTAATCGTATACGATAAGCAAAAATTATTAATTAATGTTATATTATAAGGTTTATTTATTTATATTTTTTTTACACATAATAATTAATAGATACAATACATAAGCTAACTTTTTGTAGAAAGTTAAAATTGTAAACGTATGTACATCAAAATATTGATAATTTAGCTCTGTTCTTTCGTTGATCTTGTTCGGCAGCAATACTTTTTTCAGATGCTCTTAAACCAACAAGTTCTTTCTGTTTCTCATTATACTTCATTACAATATTATTATAATGAACACTTCCTTTCGTATGCCTTGACAATGATTCTTTCAATTTTGCCGATTCTCTTTCCAGTCTTAAAATATTTTCTCCAATTTGGAAACTTGCTACGTTTAGCTGTCGATTTGATTCTGTTTTAAGGCTACTTTTACCTTTTGAAATATTTCTTGCGTCCGATTTAGCTGCAAAAAATTATTTAGAGATAACATATAGCAAACGATAAATAATAAATGGTAGAGATAATATCTAGTGATAATAAAATTTTCTTAGACGTACGTTTATCACCCAAGGTTGCATTTATAAAATTAAACACATTGTTTTCTTCTCGTTCTTTTTCCCTCTGATACTGTTTTTGTCTTTGCTGTTCCAACTTCTGTTGTTGCTTTCGCATTCTACGTTCTACGGAGAATAAATTTTCATCCCCTCCAGCATTTTCTCGCAATTCCATACAATGGTCTAAAACCACATTTTTTCATATACAAAGCATTTATATATAGAAACAATGATACAAAATATACATACCTAAAGATTTACCAGCCGGTAGTACCGTTGCTTCAACTGGTTCTATTCTGCCATCTGAATACTTTCCAAGACCAGTGCCCACTACATATCCCATTTGAGCCATTAATTTGCTACCTATCCCGCGCGTATGTTTCTCCCAATTTCCTAACGGCGTGTTGCTTTCGACCGTGAGAAGAGATTTATGAACTGTTTCTTCTCTAGGATACTCCGTTGAGTCACTTTCACCGTCGCTGTCTTCAGACGTATCCGACATTTCCAAATCAGCATCGTCTGTAACAATAAAGTGAAATAAATGTGAAAGAATAAAACTCGAATATACAATTACTTTGCAAGATACGTACCAAGCGGTAAAAGATCTTGTAAGAAAACTTCTACGATATTACCGTTTGCTTCAAATTTAATTCTGAAAACATCTCCTTCTTTTTCTGGCATTTTTAATACGACGCACCTGTGCCATAATTGATTCTTTTGCTTTGCCAATACTCTACTACCCATCTTTATACTTTGAAAATCTGGTTCTCTGCAAATAAATATCATGCTGTTGATTTTTGTACGTTGCTATCGAACATCGACAGATTCATTTACCTATATTCTTGTATACTAGATAATGGCACCAATTCTCCATGCGAAAATCTACAATCTTCGTCAGAAAATTTACATTTCCCATCCAAATAATAAGGACACGGAAGCATTTCTTTATGCGTTGGATTTAGAAAAAATACCCTGACCTAGATAATAGCATATACATAAATCCTTAGAATTACATAATATGGATGTGGATAAAGGAAGTTATCTGTTCCCTGCTGACTTTGTTAGAAGGATACATTGGAATTAGCGATTAACTTAGATGTAATTGTAATTTTCGATCTAATTCTTTTCTCACCTTTATATCTTGCATATTTTTTATTTCTGTGCTGTCGTTCTGATAAACAGAACATATCATAGCATTATGATAACCAATGCCACCCCAACTGCTACCATGGGGAGCTCGACATTTCATGCCTTCAAGCTGCCTCAACTCATCCTACAAGATGAACTTCCACCGTATAATTGTGTCATTTCTATGCCATACAGAATACTTGCATACTGACTTCTATGTTATTTGAAGCTCCGTCATCTTGTTTATCCGGCTCTTTACTCCGAGATTCGTTGGAAGTTTTCTCCAGTTCTGCCTAATGAATTTATATAGAACGAAATATTACTTTGCTGGATCTTTTATGTCTCCATCTTTTTCTTTTCTTTAATAATTTGCTCGTCGAAAGAAAAATCACCTTGAATAAGGCATATTCTTTTTCCATCGGATCGTCCATATCGTCAATATCGTCAATATCGTCATCATCGTCGTCGTCGTCTAAATCTTCGCTAGAAGTTTCAACACCTTGTAGACTTTTTTTTGTTAAAGCAATAAGCTCTTGTATGTCCGATTGTAAACTTAATAAATTCTCCCTATCCGCTTCTTGCGTAGTCACGGACAAAGTCGCTTGAACTTGAGCTAGCTGGTATGGCAAAACGATATTTAGAACAGAAAAATTAAGCGTACTCCATTAATTAAAAAATGAAGTAGGTATACGAGTTATTCGAAAGGTTATACGGTTTCCTTGTACAACGTCGATGAAATAGCAATTCATACCTGTTGTTCGTATTGTGCAATTGCTTCTCGTAAACTTTCAGTATCTGTCATATTACCCTATATTGTCTTACCCCTGCGTTGATTCAGAAGTTCTTGAAAAAGAAATCTCACAAAAACTGTTTTGACAGTTTACATTCAGGGTCCTTCCGTACTCTAGAATTTAACGATTGTACCACTACCAATATTAAAAAGCTCTAGTTTAAAGACCCTAAATCCTAATATCCATTATGTGGCGACATCTTGATCAAATTGCCATGAATCGTATTCTGATATTTGAAATACGTACATGTCATATATATTGGAGATTTACATGTATAATTTTACATTCCTTTTACACATGTAATATCGATGAGTACAAAACGTTAAGAAGATAAATTTATAATATTAGTGTATTTAACATAATTTTAATGCGATTAAAAAGATAACTGAAAAATATCTAAGTAAAACCACCCTTCCGAAGCCTCGGTAGCGCAGTAGGCAGCGCGTAAGTCTCATAATCTTAAGGTCGTGAGTTCGATCCTCACCCGGGGCATTTATTTTTTTGAAATATGAAGGAAAAATGAAGGCTATGTTATCTTATATATCGATATAATCGAAATTAACAACGAATAAAAATATACTATTTTCAAATAATAAAGATTAGAATTTTCGTTGCTCTTAGATCGACGGAAACAATTGCTAGAAATATTAAGAGAGTGACACTCTTATAGGTACTAAATTGTCAAAAAGGTGTATAGCAAATATGTATAAGAAGTTGACGAGAGAAATAAGCGTCGTGGAGGGTAAAGACGCGCGGTTTTACGAACGGGAAACGGAGCAAGAGACAATTATGTAAATGTAACACTTGCCAGAGGGACTTGAGGCTTCTTGGAATTGAAATGCGGTAGTTAAAACGAGTTGTGAATTGTTTGTTGCCCTTTAGCAATACCACAATTTGCAAGCAAACAGCCCATTAAATTGAAGCTGCCATAGCCTCTACCTTTACACGGTGAATAGGTGTTGCGACCCCTCCGCTGGAATAAATCCACCGAAAGCGACGCACGGTTGCATCGTGTTCGACTAGCTTGTTCCTGCCATGCAACGCGAACGAATATCGACGCGTTAAATGACGATAGCGTGTTGCTTTGAAAATCTACTCGAATCTAGAAAAGTTAGATCGATGGCCTCTGCTTAAGAAACGTCTAGCTCTCAGTTTGCAAAATCTTCGAGCCTAGAAGTTTCTCGAGAAACGATATTGGAAAAAGAAGCAATTTTCGACATTCGGGAATGAAAAGCAATTCGGATAGAACGAGTAGACCAGGATGCGATCGTGTCGCGATTATCGTATTTTCAGGGTGATTATACGTTGGCGGATATCGGCGAGCCGTGGTAAAAAAACAGGAGAAGAGGTGGAGAAGGTTGGTCGGGAGAAGAGAGCCGGATCCGCATTTTCGCGGGTTATTTTATGCGGCTGCTATGCATCCGTTACGTATAAATGCAGAGACGCGGCCCGATTTGCAGGTGCACAGCAGGCTCGTTGCAAGCGCGGTTGATTCCGCGTTGATTCAGGCCGTATTCAGTGCATCGAGTCCCGCGATGAAAAGGCGTTCCGCTTTCTGAATATATTCCAATTAAAAAGTCGGAGCTTCGTTACACTCGGCCCTGCCCGCGTACACTCTGCACCCTGCACCTTGCACCCTCCATCGCTCTCGCCTTTATCTTTCTCGTTTTCTGTCCTCCTCTCTTTTTCCGCTCATCCTTGCTTCTTGCGATTCCATCTTTCCCCCCCATTCTCCTCCGCTAGCCTCGTCACAGTCGACTCCTTTTACTTCTGCTTTTTGCCTTCCACCAACGGAGCCACGATCCCTTTTCGCTACTCTCCTCCATTTCCCTCTCTTCCTCGGTTTCTCCAGCAATTACTCCGCCGTTTTTTTTTCCCTCTAAAGAATTTCGCTCCTCCTTTCGGCGTTCGCCTCGCCCCTTTACTCGTCCTTGTTTATTATCGGCATCCGCGCCTACCCTTTGCTTTCATTTTAAACGAGGTTCTGCTTTCTCGACTACGTCTTTTCCCATCTCGCCGATTTTCACAGTCTTGGAAATAACCGTGTATCCTAGAACGATTCGGCCTTCTCTCGTAAGAAAGGAATGTCTTTTCTGCTCGTCGTCGGTAGAACGATATCGGAGATACCGTTAATCACCGATCGGAAGAATCGCGTTAAAAGGCACGTGGTTATAGGCGAGAGGGTGCGGGTTTCAAAGGTGTATGTAAGAGCAGGAACGATTTCGAAGACACGCAGGGAGGCCTCCCGTTGAAGTATTTAACGACGCCGTTCTCGGTCGGGCAGGAGGGAGACGCGCATCGTAAACCGAAGAGGGATAAGAAGCGCGTGTCCAAGTGCCAACACGACTTACGCACGTATGCACGCGCGTCCACGATTCGCTCAACGACAATACGCACGTGGCCGAGTGCACGCGACGCCACTTCTCTCTTATCCCAGGATATCTCGTTCGAGTCCCTGCGTACGCGACTCCTTTGCACGGAATTCACCGAGGATCCTCTATCGCGGCCGTTTCAATAGAGAATAGACGATTCGAATCGAGCCAGTGATCCACGAGTAAATTACGGCCGTTTACACGATTCAAACGCACTCGAACGTACTCGAATCTTCGTCTATATGCGTATAACGCGATAATTCTATGTTCGTTTGTCGAACCAATTATTTTATAATTTTTCCGATCGTCCAATTATCTGAGAAATCTCATTAGACTCGTTTCAGAAATTTGTTCGTAGGCGAAAGTGCTTTCGAAGAAGCAGGTATTTCTCTTGAAAGAGATGTATCGCGGTGATGGCGACACGCGGGTCCACTTAAGAACGCGTTAAGAGACGAAATTAGAAGCGTTCGTGGGACGTCGTCGGGGACAATACGCGTGGCAGGAAATTATTACGAATAATATCCGATTCATTATAGCGAAGTAATTACGCGTGAGAGATTCCCGGCTTCATCCGCGGCACGGCAAGCTCGCGGCGAACGGAGAGAAGCAGAAAGAGGTAAAAAGGGGGACGAACGTGGCAAGAATTCTTCCTTCACTCGCGTGATTTCACGCTCGGCTAGATGTGTCTCTGTTTTTTCTTTTTTATTATTCGACGTCCAGACGCGGAAAGTCTGCTGGTTTATTTCGTTCTGAATGAACCCGAAAGAAGCGCGTCTCCCATTCCGGCTTCCCTCTTCCCTTTTTCTTCGTCGTTTTCGCGGCGTAACTCGACGAGAGAAAGTCGACGATTCGCGGTTGCACGACTCGTCGTCGTCGTCGCGCAACAATTTCTTCTTATCAAACGAAACGTCCTTGCGCGCTTCACGAGTCCTTTGAACTTTCCACGCGCCTTTTCCCCCAATTATGCTTCCATTCATCTCGTCGCGATACACCGCGACTTCTTAGGATTTCGCCGTTCGATTTCGAAGAAAATCAAAGAGAATCGTTTCAGAGAAATTCGATCTCCCGTGGAGTGTCTTTCGATAACGTTCGCCAACGCTACCAAAGGAGAGTGATTAACGACGTCGTTGCGCGAGATCGTTCGAAATTCGCTTAATGCAGTCTAATCATCCGTGTAAAGAGATCGTGCACTTTTCGTTCTCCTCTTCTCGATTCCTCCCTCTCTCGTTCTTCTCACTTTTTCTCCAATTAACGATAGAGTCCGCGATCGGCTGGCGAAAAAATCATCCTCACCGATCGCGACCGTTCTCTCCGCGATCTTTCTCTTTTCCTTCGTCCTTCTCCTTCCTTCGCACGCTTTCTCGCACAGGTATATACTCGTTCTCGCTCTTTCTCGTCGATTCCGTTCAATTAAATCCGCCAGCCAATTCCAGCCACGAGTGCCAGCACCACTCGACTTGTATCGGTTTCAGCCAATTACTTTCTGCCGGGGATTGCGAATCGCTGTTTCTGGCCACGTGCCCATTGTCACGCGCGAATTGGTCTTCCCGATACGGGGCTCGTTACTGTTGCCGTTTGTCCAAATAAAAAAGCCCGATTTTCGTTTCCGCGTGTGCGCACGTTCTTTCGCGATATCGTCTGTGACGGACGGAAAAACAACCGTCGTTCCCCGTTGATCTACTCTCGATTCGTCGTGGTAAACTCGATGTTTATCACAGCGTGAAAAGAACAAATAAAACGCACGAGAATAGAGAAAATCTTGTTCGATATCGTTGAAAACGAAAGCAACTGCGTGGCGCGTGAAAGGAACAATTACAAGGCGGTGTTTTTGTTCGATAATAATTTATTTATCTACAAGAATTCATCGGTTGACGAAAAATCGTCGACTAACTGGAGAAAGTGATGGATTATCAGCGGTGAACGTTAGCGAACTAGATCTCTAAGTGAAAATTGGCCAGTGATTGCGGGAAACGGGGGAAAACGGTTGTACCGCGGAGCATCGCACGCGTCCTAGTAAACGTCGTTTTCGCCCGTTTCCCGGTTACAGTTACCTAAGATCCTATGACACATCTACGGAATTCGACTCGCTATCGACTCAACTAGATTTCTTCGTTCGTTCCGAGTAAAAGGAACATGTTTCCGAACCTGGATATTACGGGTTTGTTCTTGTTTAAATTGGAACAGGCGAAAGTTCGTGGAACGATGGAAACAGATTCTCGAAACACCTGGATTTCCGATATCGTTTCGTTCATCCCTTCCCCTTTCGTCGTCGCGAACGAAAACAAAGCGACTACGACTACCGACCAACTTCGTAATTACATATGTACACTGTTTCGCATGCAGGAATTAGCTCTCGGAAACAACTCCAAAGCGGAGCACGGAATCTTCGAAGAGTTCCATCCCAGGAAGGGAGTCGCGAAGAACTCCTGAAACCGCGTTTACATCCGCGTTTCGTGGTTCACGCGCACTTCACTGTATCGGAGGTAGCAGCGCGTGATGTTTTGTACCAGGATACGATCGAACTAGCGGTCGCGAGACTTTTTTCGCGTACGCGTCCGATGTAGCGAAACGCAGGCCGAAGAATTCGACGGAAAAGAACGGCGACTGCCGCGAACCATTGCGATTCACGATCGGGAGTTCGGGCACATCGAGGTCCGATCGGATCCATCGGCGATGGTGGTTCCACCGGTGGTTCGGAATCGTCCGAGGCGGACGTTTCGAAGAGAGAAGGGCTGCCGACGCCGGCGGCCAGAAGGCAGAAACGATCCTGAAACCGCGGCGTTCGGCCGGGTTAAAGGGGACATCCGTGAACGTAAGTGACGTTTCGGAAGAGGGCTGCGGCCGTGGAGAGAAACGCGGCCGTGGAAGCGGTGGACGGCGCCGGCGGCGGTGGCGGTGGAGGCGGATGACTCTGCGTTTGGGTCTGAGCGTTGTAAGGCGGACAATAAGCGTCTATGCTGCCATGATGGAGTCCTACTCCTCGCACGAGCAGCTCCTTTTCCACCGTAGCTTGATGTCGAAGTTGTTCCAGTCGCAGTTGGTTCTGTCGCTTCCATTTCGTTCTGTGGCAAAAAGTTACGTTTCAACGAATCGTCGAACGAGATAGCCGTAAAAGTAAAAGTAAAACGACCTTCTGTTCTGGTACCAGGTTTTCACTTGCGTCTCGGACAGCGACAACGCGTCGGCGACGTCGCTGCGATCCGCCACGCTCAGATACTTTTGACAGCGAAACTTTCGTTCCAGATAAGCGAGTTGAGCGTGGGTGAACGCCGTTCGCCTTCTTCTGGGCTTTCTGCCGCTTGGAGGACCGCTCGTCGTGCCGCAAGACTTGCCGGAAGTCGCTGGTGCCGGCGATGGCGACAGAGCCGGCGGAGGACTCTCCAGTCGGGTGCAAGGGCTACTTCCTGGGTCGATCGTGTCCTCGGAATCGGAATGTACGGCAGAATCGTCCTCCGAATCTTCTGAAACAACGTAACGTTTAGTTGTACGCGCGTACACGAGTCAAATCACACGCGCCAGTTGTTACGCGAACTAAATTCCACGAAATCCGATCCAATCTCGTCGGATCTGCGTTCTGCTGCGTTCCCATTAGCCGAGAAATAGATTCAAAGCCTATTACGCGAACAATGCCGACAAATCCTCGGCTGATCGGACGATCGCGATTGCTTTTGGTTAACGGTAAACGATCTCAATTACAAGAACGGTCGGTGTCCGATCGTGATTGGCCAATAAAGGCATCGAGACGCAGCAGGACGCGATAATCGTCGACGACGAACGACGAAAATTCGCACTAACGAGAACTAACGAATCCTTTCGCAGCTCGGACCATCTGTAGGATCGTGGATAATGGGGCGCTACCCTGTCGGGGCGCTTGGCTAAAATTAATAGGGCCGCTCTGCGGGATACCGTGTAACGAGAATCCTGGCGACAAGCCACGCGACCGCTATCGCGTACAATAAAAATCTTGACTTTTTAATTACTCAGCCTCGAACCGAGTCAGGGATTCGTTAGCGCGCTGCAAACTTTTTTGCTTAACTTTTTTCTTCGAGAAATCTCGATTTTCCGGAAGAAAAATCGCGCAAGAAAAAAGACGATAAGATTACTTATACGTGGCGCAAAGATTCCGCGTACACAGATGATATTTAAAGAACGACACTATAGACCGAAGAAGGGGCGATTTGTACGATTAAACTCACCGTGCACCCGTTCGGACAGAACATCTCCCAGAAGATCCCTTATAAGAAACGACTTGTGCTCCTGCATCGTTACACCTCGACGAGAAAAACGAACGAAACGACCGTGGGAAACAACGATTCCGCTTAGAGGATGAGGATCGCGCGAACCAGCTGAGCCGGAAACGTTTGTCGGCGCGAGAACACCTCAGTTACGGACGAGTCGAGTTTCATGCTAACGTGTGGACGCTCGGCGTCGTTCTGCGTCGTCGAGGATCACGGGGGATGACCGGATGTGCCTGTCCGAGCCTGGTATCGTCGTCATACTCCTTGACAGGCGCACGTTGCTGAATATCAAGGTGGGGGTGGAGGAAGAGTTACCACGCGGGTTAGGCCTGGGGTTGCGTCGAACGAGCCCCGCGCCACCCCGCTCCAATTAATCCGCCCGTTTATTTTGAACGGACTGTCTAATGCTCGCGCGATTTCGCAGCCATTTTGGAGGTGGTAGCGCCACGCCACCCCCGTACCGTATCCGCGGCGACTAGGCGATTGGTCGAGCTAACTCGACGTC